CGAGAAATCACCTTGTTAGGAAAAATTTGCCTCAAGACTCTCATTTATTGGTCTGCAGTGTGGGCTGTAGCACCGTCCTGTTGAAAATAAACCCTTCTTCGGTTTATTTGACGTCTGCAAAGTTCTTGGCGGAGAAATGTGTTCAACATGTGAACATATTGATGGGAGTTCACTGTCACTGTTACACCATTTTCCTCAAACAAATACGGCCCAATAACACAGGAATGAGATACCGCACACCAAACTGTAACCTTGGGATAGTGTAGGGGTTTTTCATGAATGTTACGGGGATTCTGACTGGACCAGTAACGGAAGTTTTGTTTGTTTACCGAGCCATCAAGATGGAAGTGGGCTTCGTCACTCATTAACAATATAATGTTCGGCTCATTGTTAAGCAATCTTTGCATTCGTGATGCAAAGTTTACTTGTTTATTATAGTCAGTCAGACAGTCAATTTAAGTTCCTGCGCTACCTGTATTTCATAAGGATGAAACTTAAGATCTTTTCTAAGAATTCTCCTTACCGATTGTTTATGTTCAGCTCTTGAGCATGTTTAGTGCAGTCCTGATTGGACTCCTTCAATGCTGCTCTTACTCTGGCGATGTTTTCGGGTGTTCTCAAAGTTCTAACAAGGCCTGGTGGTTTTTTTCTTGTTATATTCCCAGTTGTTCGGATCCCTGAAACCCATCTTAATAGCGTATTACGGCTTGGAACTGTTCCATGGCGTTCAATATTAAAATGTCGACAAAATTCCCGCTGGGTTTTGACGACGGATTCACCATTTTGGACAAAAGTATCGTATGCGAAAACCCGATGGTCCACGGTCCACTGAGCCATTTCAACAAAAATGGCAAGCCTCACTGCAGTAATAGGACTGTTTGGAATTATAAGGACCATAAGATACTAATTTTAACCAAAACCGGCTTTATTTCCAAAAATAGATTTTCTGTTATTTAATGGGTTTTTTAAATGGAAAAATAACATAAGTTAAAATAACATTTGATCCATAATTCTTACAGCAATGGGAGTTGTACAATTTTGTTTAGAATTTAAAGGACATACAAAATACAAAATTCATACAACATACAACTTTTATCAAAATAATTTTGAGGACATTTTTTTCAGTTATTTTATTGGTTTTTATGAAAAAATCACCATTAAAAATCAAAATTTCAAAAAAGTAAAAAGCCTGCACACGGATAGATTACTTCAAGAACCACTTTTCTTTGGGTTCAGGGAGACTTAAAACAAATATCTACTCAAAACTCAAACTTGAAAATTTTGAGGAAAACAACAAGTTAAGTGTAACCTTACCATTATGTTGCAACTTATTTCCACCCAATAGATTTTAATTTAAGTGTCCTTGGAGCCTAGACTTATAACTCACAAACAAATTTAAACTACAAATCAAATTTCTAATCTTACAGTATACTAGATATTTAAATTGCAATCACTTTGCCAACCTGGAGGAAACAATTTATTTTCAACTCACAACACAGTGTGTTTGCAAGTTTGCACAATGTTTGCAAGTTTGATCCTGAGTAAAGTCAGTAGCTTCTCGATGGTTAGCTATCTTTGATCATTGGACTGTCAATTAAAGATCCAGGCTATCAGCTGATTTCACTCAGTCTCAAAGCTGTACAAATAATTTCACTTCACTCTACACTGACTTTGCATTCATATTAATTCATACACAAAGTGCGAAGCTGTCATAGTGAAGTGTTCAACTGATGGGTTACAGAAATAACACGTTGATGGTGACACAAGAACTTTTTTGCGACGGTATTTTGAAAGATTTGTTAATCACACAATGTTAAACGATTGCATCTATTAAAATACAAGTGCAATATATTACACAATTTTATTATAAATATTTTTAGGTTCCTTCTTTTCATTTTAAGATCAGTTTCAGTTTCAAGCACTGAATCAGGAACACTAGTCAAACTTCCATTGCAAACACATTATCACCTCAAGGGTCCCGGTAGTTGGTTAGATCATGCGTGATGTTGTAGGTACAAGTGGAGTAAGCAGATCATGACCGAGGTTGTGGTGCCGAGGTATGGAGAGCAGATGATGGCCCCTCACTACCACACACCACCGTACCTCACTGCACAGCCGGAGATTGTACACCACAGACTGACGCCGCGTGACCGCTTCCTCGTCATAGCATCTGACGGACTGTGGGATCTCGTCTCTCCACTCCAGGTAGGCTAGTGTATTTTTATTTTTACAAATCAACAATTTAGTAGGTAGAGCTAATTTTTCCAATATTTGAATTATTTTTTTACATTCTTAAATTTGTCTTATTTAGGATAAATTGCCTTCTCATAATATTTTTTATAAGCTGTTTTTGACTGATTTTAATTTTTCATGATGGAAAATTTCCTCCCCAATAATCCTTTGTACCATCTTAATGTACAATCGCCAAAAATCTACATCTCTATAGGCCCTACTCTGTATATACGAGTCATTTGATTTTATCGTTAAAGTAGCATATTCCAGTAAAACCATTTTACTTAGTTTACAGCTTCAAATTAATGAAATAATTAGGCCTAGTTACTGTTTTAGATTGTAATGGAGCAATCAAGATACAGAATTACCATGAAAAATATTTTTGGGACTCCAACATTAAGTTTACGACTCAGTATTGAGTCCCAACATAACAGACAATCCCCTAGTACCTGAACCAAAACGTTATACTCTCATAAAATAATGAGACGGGTTGCCCAATAATATTAAGACTAAAAGTAAATTTTTATGTTAAGATTGTATAAAAAAATATAAGTTTGCATAAAATTTATTAGAAAAGACATTTTGTTTCAATTTTAGTTTAGTAATATCTGCTTGTTTAAACAATTGAACAAAATTAGTTTTGTATCACCCAACAGTTTTGTTTTGACAGCAGGTGTCAAAAAGGTACACTGCCAGCATATTTATTTTGCTCATTAACAACTTTGCAATGTGTAGAACAGTCTTTGTGTTACAGCCAAGCCCTCTACAGAGTATCGGCATGTTTCTAATCAATAACGTCAAGTTTAGAAGTAGTTTCTACAGTTCTAACTATTCCAATGTTCTGTGCATTTAAAACATTCAGTACCAACTGACATGATCTGAGATGCTAAACGTATGACCATTGACTATTGGATAATAGTCAAAGGTATGACTCTTTCTAGAGATTGTGTTAAAAACAATAAAATAAGATAATTACAGATTGGCCTTTCTTTTCCAAACAGATCACCTCTTAATTACATTTATTCAAGTTTAAGCGTAAAAAAAACATAGGATTGCAGTGATAGATTGTGTAGGTCATCAGGAATTTCCTTTGAGGGGTAATGTTTGCTTATTATTTACATTTTACTTTTATTATTGCCACAACCCAATTATGGTCCGTGAAAAATAAATATTAGAGTTATAAAACAAATTAACAAGTAATTTGAATGGCTGCTCAGGTCGTACGGTTGGTGGGAGAACACATGAGTGGCAAGGTAACACTCAGTCCGCTGCGACTGCCGAGGAAGGACATGACACTAGATGAGATCAACAGTCTACTGCTGCAGCGGCGTAAGGGACTCGCCAAGAAACCGGTGGACAGGAACGCGGCCACTCACTTGTTGAGGCACGCACTAGGTCAGTCTTCAACCTTTAGTTGTAGTTGCTTGTTTCCGTTTTACACCTAAAACTCCTTTCACCCAGTTTATCTATCACGGAATCTATGTTATCAACTCCTCTGAGCTATCTGGTTCTGGTTTAGAGAGTTTTACAAAAAAATCTAGTGCAATGAAAATGGGGAGGGCCAAAAGCGGTTCAGGGTTTTATGGACTACATAGAAATAGATCAACTGTAATGTTTATACATTTACGATTAAAAGTCATTGCTGTGTATGTTATCCTCGTTTTATTTTAATTTTAAGATTCAACTCACTTTCAATATATAAGTCCTCTATTTAGTATGTATGTATAGGAGGAGAAAGCAAAACAGTGGTTCACAGTACCCTAACCTTACCTTACCCACATTTAATCTGATCGAATCCCAAAAGAATAGCTGAACAAACATATTCACTTGTCATTGTCAACCTGTATTGTTTCAGGAGGTACAGAGTACGGTATCGAACACTCCAAGATCTCCCAGCTGCTCAGTCTGCCACAGGAGGTCGTAAGACTGTTCAGAGATGACATCACCATCACCGTCATCTACTTCGACCCCGAGTACCTCCGTCACTGCCCTCTCTAGTGTGCTGCACAAGTGTTACCCTTATCAGCTGTAATAGTTTACCGACAGCTGAGCCGGAATGAAGCTTTATGTTCCTCGTTACCATAGTATTATATGCGTACGAAGTCATAGTTTTAAATATTTATTGTTCGTTTTCTATCGACGCAAGTTTTCTCATTTGTATACCACAAGAAATAAACGATCTGTTAAGTTTTTAGTCGATTTGTGCTTCATTGCGTATCTATTTGGTTCTAGTATGGTTAGGTGAATATATTTTTAAATTTAGAAAAGGGCCCTCAAAATAAGTAATACTATTTCATCCCTAGTCTCCTAGTGACCTAATCCAGGTAGAGATGGTTTTCCAGAGAGATGTGATCAAACCCAAGAATAAGCCTTTTGGGTTATACTACGTAATTCAATAATTTTACCATCTCTAACAATGTGACTAATTTTAAAAGAAAAAAAAAACATTTTTAATTTAGCCTACAACATGATTCAATCAAATTTCTCATTTAGACAAAAAGTAATAAACAAATACTACATTTTAACTTCTCAAGTACGATTTCCTAGTAACAGTATTACGTAGACTGTATTATGAACTATTACTGGCAGCCATTAAGTTCAACCTCAAAAGATGGATCGTAAAATAGCACCTTTTTAGTGTTACTGTTATCAATAAAACACTTAGAATGGAGGGCAGTGACGCAAGAGTTCTTTTTTTTACTCAATGTAGATTAACTGTAAATCGGGGAAATAACAATTGAATAAATTAGGACCAAATTAAAATTGTAACCAAATTTATTCAATGATGTAGCCTAATAAATCTCTTTTTACAATATGCACCAATTAGAAAACCACAGTTAATAAATATTCTTGTAATCCAGTCTTACAGGATCTGAAACAAAAAATAAAATAATAGATTCTTTACAAAAAAAAAGGTTTTTCCAACATTAGAAAAACAGTAAACGCTTTGTGATTTTCATTTCACCTCGCGACATACGTTAGTCAAGAACTCACCAATCGCAATAACTTGTTAAACTATGTTTTTGTTATTACTTAAAATTTTACTTTTATATTTTTTGCTAATTTCCACATTTAAAACTAACAATACTAACAAGAAAAAAAGGGAGAAAGGGAAAAACTACTGTTAAAATCCAATCTTGAATCCTAGGTATCTCAAGTGCAACAAATCTCAATAACAAGATTCAAATCCAAGATTCGCCAACAATTATTTCTAAAACTTGGCTATACATTCAACATGAAAATGGAATGTCTAGTTCTATACCTTGGTGATGAGACCCGCTGCGATGGTGGCTCCTCCCACCCTCAACATAAATCGTCCGAGCTCCTTCACGTCTCTGTACAATTCCACACAGACAGGTCGAGATGTCTCTAGCACAACCAGCGCAGACGAGTTCTTAGTCAAGCACCGGGGTCGTCGCTTTATGACCTACAACAGTGTCATTAAATTATAATCCAACTACTAGGAGGTCACAAATTGTGGATATTTATAGGCATGCACTGTGGATGCGATACTCTCTGGTGTGGATTAACGTCCGCACGAGTGATTACTACGACTATCCGCAGTACTATCCTGATAAGTAGACCAATTCGTATATACCAAGGCAAAAATATGGTTTGGATTCCACTATAAACTGTAGGTCTCACTATCAAGACTACAAGATCGCGCCACTCATCCTACACTCATCTCCATTCATACTTGGCTTAAAATACCTACTTTGTATGGTCGCCATTTCATCGAAAAGTATTAAAGTATTTTTATTATTCAGCAGCAAAAAATTCTCTTTATTCTAGGGGGAAATCGTCTGGAGTCATGGACTTGAGCTGTAAAACAAAAACAGCTGCTGATTTTAGCAAAGAAAATAATTCTGACTATATGTTAAGGTAATAAATATATAAACAGATTTTGTTCATCACATGGGTAAAATTGTGTTTGCGTTTGCACATAAACCGCCTTCTGTAAGATATACAGTGAAATGAGAAATTATTACTTGATACACTGCTTGCAAAATATGGGGATATGTTAAAGGAGATACCTCCCTTTTTTAAGCTAGAGTTATGACAATGAATGATGTTTAGTGATGTCAAAGTAAAATTAAAACAACAGTTTGGATGGACGATGGAACTTTAAAATTACCTCTCCAGAGCTTTTGTGAAGCTGAGCCACCAGTTTAGTGATGACAGCTGGCTCTGCTAGGCTTTGCTGGTGCAGCACCACCTGATTCAACAATACGGATACAGATTAAATGACATTCTAGGGTTAGAGCTTTAAAAGATATAACTAATAGATTCACAAGAATAGTAAAACTAAAATATTTCATCACCCTACTAAATTATATCTTCATAGAGTAGACTGAAGATCCTTAATTTAAAAGCTAACAAAAATATCCATAACCCGATGTTTTTTAACTCCTGCGCTGTTAGACATAGTGAAAGACTAAATTACTTAGACAATATCCGTCAGACAGCTCAGTCAAAGAAAACAATATCTTTAAAAAGACAGGTTTTCGTGTTTAAAACACCATTGGTCGTTGTGTGTTGTGTTTATTCTGATGTTAAAGTTTTTTACCAGAATAACTTAACAGGTACCTGAAGTTTACAATGGTGCTTTAACGGCAAAACATGTCCTGAACAAAGATATTGTTTTCGGCTGTCTGATGGAAATTGCAAAAGTAAATTAGTGTTACAACGTTACAACATTTTGGATGCATTTAGATATACATGTTCACTACATCATACAACCTCCCCAACTATGCACAATTGATCATTCAAATTAAATGATACAGTACGGTATTAATTAATTATAGTCTATAATATTCAACTATCATAAAATTGCAAAACATTTATAAACAAAATGAGCAGTCAAGACATGTTTAGAAAAACCTGTTAAAACAAGATATAAAAGCAGCATATAAAAAATATATGACCTAGCCACAGCCATCAGTGAAACACTAGTTATCATTTGCACAAGGCAGTTGAACAGGACATTAATCTGTGGAAATTGTGTAGGAGTCGACTTAATACAATCTTATCTTGCCGTTAATACAAATTTTCTGAGAAAACATCCATAGAACTTGCATCATTGAAAGCATCATAATGTGTTCAGAAAGCTTTTATAGCGTACTGTATAAAGAAAGGGATACAGTATTCCCAAACCGCTTTGATCAAACGTTCGTCAATACTCATGTCACAGACAAAGCTAGACAGTGACTAATCTAGGCCAGGTGCACGCATACTGGGGAAAAGTCGGATCCGACGTCCGACAACAATGCTCCAGAGAGCAATGTTGTTGGAAGGTGTCGTGTCGGACTAGTGGGTTACAGTCCATTTAAAGTCATGCAAAGTAATTTTGTCGGAAGGTGTCGGAGACTTTTCGGAAGATGTCATGTCGTACTAGTGGGTTTCCTGCTTTAGCGTGGTGCTCTCCAACGGGCCCATTGGTACATTCAACCCTGTTTGTAATATTACAGTTTTAATTACTACTGTTGAATTAGTAAAGTGTCTACTGTTCTGAACACTCACAGAGAAGCCTTTGGTGACAGGAACAGTGATGTTGAACAGCACTATCCTAGCCTCAAACTTTGAGGTGACTGGTACAGGACTGCTTGGGTCACACAACACGTAGCCCACAGCCATGTTCTGCTGGTCGTAGTTGGCGATTGTAAGACTCACACTGTCCCCAGCAAACGCTACACCTGTGTTCACCTCCTCTATGGATATTGCTGCAACAACCAAACACTAGTGATGAAACAATTGATATAACTTAATGTAACTGACGCAAATCAAAGCAGATAAAATTCTTGGGCGATTCCTACTTGTTCAAGGTATTCTGTTGAAAACTCATTTTAATCCACAACAAAAATGTCTTATCACATTGCTGCATGTGGTAGTATGTATAAGAAACATAACTCTTCATTCTGTACAGGACACAACCTGTCTCATACCACAGCTTGCCGACTTTTGAAGAGTTTACCAAAAGTTTTGCAAACCTGATATTTCATTGAACTTGGATGTTTTTCAAAAAGGTTCAATAAATAGACACTGGTCATAGTTTTGGCTTTTGTTTTGAAAGATTATTGAATGTATTCTCAGTCATCACCATCAACAAAACAAAATCCATTTTTGAAAATCATTCGGCACTAACAATACTTCTGGTCTATTTATCACAAAAAATAGGATAACACCAAACTAGCTGGCTACCTTTAGCAGTGCAGGTCTCGTTCTGAGGTAGTACCAGCAGCTTGTCTCCAGCTTGTACCATCCCAGTCTCTACTCTGCCTGCTACACAGAATCCTGAGCCTGTCCCCTTGTAAACATCGTTGACTGAGATCCTCAGAGGCTTGGCGACCGGACGCTCAGGCACCTTGAACTTGTCTGCAAATTCAAGAGGATCGTATTAAAATCCAATTTTAAGGTACACCGATAAACAGATATCCAAACAGACATTTTGTGTTGTAAAAAGGGTTATACCACCGAGCAGCACAGACAACTGATGGGAAAATTTTATGTGAGCACTGTTCAAAAGACCATGGCCAATACGGCTAGCTACTGGACCAATTTCGACAAGCTAAACGTAGTGTTTCTGATTCTCAAATAGGTAACAGTGTGTTGTTTTCTTAGTTGTATAATGTGAAAACTAAGATTAATGTACAAGTGGTGTTTGGTCAAGGTGAATTCAATGAGTGCTGTTGAATAAAAAGCGATAATCCAAAAATGTCTATCCAAAAATAATTAACTAAATAACTGCTGTTTTTGTCCTATTAGAACTGAACCAATTTAATTAATTTATTGGTTTACAGAACTCTATTTTTTTTATTACTTAATCAGTCACTTTGCTTTCCTTCGATAAATATTTACAAGTAAAATTCATCACAAATTTTTTTTAGCCCCTCACCTATAACATCCAGCAGACAAGGCCCTGTATACCACTGGCACAGAGCAGGTTCTGTAGGTTTACTGGCGAGGTTCTCTCCAGTCAAGCCACTGCAGGGGACAAACGTCACGTCCTTGTCTCTGAACCCTGCCTGCTTCAGGAACACGTTCAGTTTGGACGCAATCTCCAGGAACCGGTTCTCGTTCCAGTCCACAGTGTCGAGTTTGTTGATGGCTACTGCCAACTGGCTCACACCTATTGTGACAAACATTGACAATCAGTTGATTTGTCCTTTTGCAACAATATACATGTTAATTTGTATTGTTTTAAAGGTTGTGTAATTTTAAAATTACTATTCTATAAAACATTTGTTTCATAGCTGACGTAGATAGATCATCCTTACATAATATATCCAAACATATCCTTCCTAAACTAAAACGGACAATGAGAGAACTGTTTTGTGATTCGATAACTTGAATTAGAGCACTCACCGAGTGACCGCACTAGCAGCGCATGTTCCCTCGTCTGTCCCCCAGACTCAAAGCCAGTCTCAAACTCTCCTCTGGTAGCGTCCACCACCAACAGCGCCACATCTGCCTGCGCCGCGCCAGTGATCATGTTGGGTATGAAGTCTTTGTGTCCCGGTGCATCCAGTAGAGTCACGACCTTGGAGTCCGTCTCCAGCTGAGACTGGCCCACGTCCATTGTAATGCCTCTTGTCCTGCACAGTCAAACCATAGATAAAACATACTCCCTTAGTAGATTTCTCATCCTAATGGAACAGCTGAAGACAATTTTATTTTTTTTGTTCCTTCCAATGTCGCTAGGATTGTGTTTTTGTTTACAATTTGTTTCTTGTTATTTCAGTCATTCAAAGCCTCGTTTAACCAAATAGAACAGTCTAATCACAGATAATAACTTATCCCCTAGCTTAACTCCTAACTTCAGACTGAACGTAGGGGTTGCGGCATTATCATTTAGATAAAATCCATTAGTGATTTGGCGGGATTTGAACCCAAGACCTCAGGGACCAAAGTCCCACACTCTACCAGCTTTGACTTATTATCTTGTCTAAAGCTTTTCTGAAATAAGTTAGTTTATTAATAAGGCCTACACTAAAGATAAAATGAGTTCTGAATAATTACTCCTTAACATATTCTTTTCAGAATCAAGATTGATTTCTTCAGTATATTAATTGATTTTTCACAGAATCAAAAGTGATTTTTTTGCTCTGAACTAATCCTTCTTGCGATTAAAATGTATTGCTCTAGATTACACGAGATACCTATGGGATTTGAAAGGTTTACCGTTTGAAAATGGTTGAACGAACACCAACGTGTCAAAAAACGCTCAAGTTTAATAGGAACCAAAGCATAGGAAAGGCATACATTCTATTGACACATATACAAAAGGTATATTTACAATGCAACTGTCTGTTTAATGTAGACATTATTAAACACCTAAAAAAATACATTGGCTATTTTATATATATAATGGTTTTGGATCCTAAGCAACACCTTCCTCTTAAAGACCATCCAAACTGACCTCACAACCTATAGACAATGTCATTTCGTTTGGTTTATAATATTATAATGATATGAAAAAATGTATATTTTTGTTTGAACAGTTACAAAGTCTAACCTTTCTTCTCCAGTCTCGTCCAGTATCCAGGCGTACATGAAGCTTTGTTTTCCCACCTTCTTGCTCTCCTGCTCATACTTGTGCATCAGTTTCTGATTCACTCTTCCAAGTCTGTACAGTAGGTGTCCCATCAGGGTGCTTTTGCCTGGAAACTCCCAGAAATCAATATTTGTATGGATGTTATCTTAATTGTTTCTAACATAATTTCTATTTAGTTAGTACGGTAACTAAATGAATATCAATGTTATTGTCAAATAGGCTTATTGTCAAATGTTATTGTCAAGTCACTTAAGATACCTCATTCGGAAATGGTGAGGAGATTAGGGGTCACAAAAACATGGGTAGCAGCAAACCCTATCTATCTTTATTGACTCTAATACTTTTCTTTCAAAGTAATTGTTGGAGGTAGCAATGATTTTCACTCCCTCAAAGGAGTGTTTAAGCTATGTGGAGCTGGCCCAGGTATCAGCCACTCCCTGATTAGAAACATTCCAGAAAGGCCAGAAACCTACAACATTACGGAGCGTTCTACAAGACCACATACCTTCGCCACCCCCACCCCAATATAACCCATGACAACGTGCACAACCGTCTTCAGTTGAATAGTTTGCCCCAAAGATAGCTGCTACACATCTTAAACGTCAGCCTTTAGTTTAACTCTTTCAACGATGCAATCACCACTCAAAGACCTGATTTAATAATATGCCGTGATCGTGGAAGCTTGAAGCCTGTCATTTGGATAAACTTTATTTAGTCTAACTTATTGTGTTATTTTGTATTGCTTAGGTATCAGGTATCACACACCTGCATCTACATGGCCAATCGTGACCATGTGAAGTTGTTCTTTGCTGTCTCCTCGGAACTTCTTCCATTCCTCAGCAGGATTGTTTTTCCTAAACAGTAAACATGTATCTAGTATGAATAGGCATTTATTGTTGTCTTCAAACAATTTATATTTATTATCATGACTCACCTTTAAACTACATTATAACCTCACTAACTCGACACCCAGTAACTCAACAGTCTGATCAACTTGACAGTCAACAGATGATAGGGAGCACGTAAAAAAGGCAATTCTTTCAGAACATTAAGTTTTAATTATTTTTGAATATTGGACATTTTTCTTTAAAGATTTTTTACTTAATATGTAAAATACTCATGTAGGTAATAAATTTATATGTAAAAATTAGTCTGTTATGTATTCATTTATTAAAACCCTTTTAAAATGTCAATTCTTTACATTACTTCACAGCCTCTAGGTCCACAAATTTTTGAGTTAGTGCGTACTGTACTTTAAAAATGCACAGGAAAAATTCGGAGGAAAATAAGTGTTCTCAAATTACTATGCAAAAGTGAAATAAATGACAGTATTCTTTTTTGCGCCGCTCCACCAATCACATTTTTCAAATTTTTTGTAAGGAAAATAGTTGAATCACTTCAGTGAAAAAACTGTTTAGTATCCAACTAAACCTACTTCAAGATTCAAGATTTCTTTATTCAATATATAAGATTCAAGATTTCTTTATTCAATATATAACATATAGGCTATAAAACATACATGTATCTGAAAAGAGTCAAAATCTATATACAAATCATAGACATTAAAACATAAATCTGCGCAAATGTCTATTATGAAAATATACTTATAAATATACTTATTTGTTGTGTTATTATTACTTTTTATTTTATAGACTCAAGCTAGGTTAAATAGTTTTTACCTAGTAAGATATTCCGTGCAAGCTTTGTAAGTCATAGAATAAATGTGAACATAATTGAATCGAGCTTTCAACAGTGTCATGCAGCTGTCAATTACTGATTGCTGTTGAATCTGAAATTTTTTTTAAACCAAGCCAAACTAAAAGTGTAACATTCTTATCTATTGCCTCTTTTGTAAATCTATTTATAGTATCAATTAAAAGAGGAGTTATAATTTTGAAAATTAGCTCACTCTATGAGAGGCTCATTACACTGAGTGCTGTTTAAATAAAAAATGGCTATACCTGGTGAATATGAAAAATAATAAACCAAAAAATAATAAATAATCTATACTATTATAAAGAAGAGGTGGTGTCTGTGTGTGTGTTTGTATGAGCTAATCTCAAAAACTACTGGTCGGATCGGGCTGAAATTTGGCATGATGATAGCTCACATTCCCGATTAACATATAGGCATATTTTTATCCCAAAAATCCTTCGGGGCTCCGCCCCAGTGGCTCTGGAGTTTCCCATGTTAACCTTATGAGAAATGGAATTAATGAATCTTAACAGCTGTTTCAATTAAACAAGTTGGTTCTGTTCTATGATGTTCAATAGCATTAAAAGTTACAAGGATTACCAACAGGGTGCAGCACTAGCACTATTATTTCTTTTACATTTTTGACAACAGCAAAAGGTGAGTGAGCGTAGCGAACGAACTTCAACCTGGAGGCGAGTGAGCGTAGCGAACGAGCTAACCTGAAGGCAAGTGAGCGTAGCGAACGAGCTAACCTGAAGGAAAGTGAGCGCAGCGAACGAGCTCCAACCTAAAGGTGAGTGAGCGTAGCGAACGAACTTCGTCAAAAAGAACCGAAATTTCTTAAACCATGTCCTCACTCATAACTGCTATAAGCATTTGATACTTATATGCCAACCCCGTACGAAGGACGGGTACTCTGCTAGTAATAAATAAATAATAAATAAATAATAATAAAAAATAATAATAAAAAATAAACCAAGTTAATAATTGCAATGTTATTTTATTTTAAAAACGGATACTTCATGGTAATATTATAGAGAGAGCAATAGCTTGAATTGTTAAATTTCTATTATTTTGCTCTATAGAACAACAAATCTATGCTATCTATGTTATCTATGTTAATCTATGGATTAGCTTGAATTGTTAAATTTCTATTATTTTGCTCTATAGAACAACAAATCTATGCTATCTATGTTATCTATGTTAATCTATGGATTAGCTTGAATTGTTAAATTTCTATTATTTTGCTCTATAGAACAACAAATCTATGCTATCTATGTTATCTATGTTAATCTATGGATTAGCTTGAATTGTTAAATTTCTATTATTTTGCTCAATAGAACAACAAGCTCTATGGATTAAAGGTAAATTTCATATGAGCAGTAGGCAACTTCATTGTACCAGTGAGAACTGTTCTCTCACCTAGATGGAGTTTTATTGTCTGTGTCTATGTTGCTCTTTATCTTCCTCTGCACCTCAGGACTTGTGCCTGGGGTTTTCTCACACGGTGACTGAGATCTTGGCGTTCCATCGCTAGGTTTCAATCCACTCTCACCTGTACAGTTTCACGATGTACTATATGATTTTTTATGTATACAAAATATCACGGTTGCATTGCATTCCTTCTCTTCCTTTTTCAAACAAAAAAGATTATTCATTGCTTTTCATTTATTTATCTATACTTCTATACTATTATATAAAAATCTAATGGTGTCTGTCTGTATGTGTATTACTAATAGGTGCAAAAACTACTGAACCAACTGGGCTTAAATTTTACAAAAATATAACTACCATACCAAGGACCATTATAGGACTATTCACATTTCGATACTGACCGTAGGCTTTGCCCCTTTGGCTTTAAAAGTTCTGAGTTGAACATTTTAAAAGTAAATATTGATTGGTCTCCATGGCTGTGATGAGAACACTAACAATGTTTGTTTACATTTGCTTTGACATTTAATATAAACAAGAAGAACTGCTAAACTGCATATTTCACAGTTTCAGACAGCTGATACAAAGAAATTAAATATAATATTTTCCATAAATATGAGGTAGGTTTATTTTAATCTAACCTTTTATCATGGATTATTTATTCTAAAACTATGTCAATGATTATAGAAAAACAAATTTATAACCGTTGCTGTATCAACTCCGGCTCTGCTTTGGATTTTTTAAAGCGTCTTAAGTTAATAATCTTAAGTGAAAATAATGTTATTGGTATGTTTTCATGGAAACAGTATGAAAATTACAATGTATAGATGTTTAGTATGAATTTGGAGGCTACTTTAAATAAATTCTAACTGCTTCACATGTGTTAGATTAACTTAACATATCTTGCACATCACATTGTTTTATTATATGTATATTTAGGTAAATTAAGTTATTGTGTTTTGCTAAACCTATGCTTAAATTAAACTAAAGAATATAACTAAATTGTCGTTGATTTTTGTTTTCTAAAATAGAGAAACTAAAAAGGTATGATAGTATCAATGATTTTAAATTTCACTCTTTTCAATCATTATAATAACTTGTTGAATTAATTATAACAAATTAAAATTATTTCATGATTAGATGAAAAAATGAAATGAAATAAAAAATTCTTCTTTATTTTTCAGGCCAAGTTAGGGCCACATGGTCGTTTCTTACACTATGTAATGTACAGTGTAAATGTAAACCCACACTGTAAATAAAACATGTGATTGAAATTTTTTTTGATTTTCTGTTTATATTTTGTTGTTATTTTTATTTTATTTATTTATTTATTTATTTATTTATTTTGTCATCATCATGGCCTTATGGGACCCCTGTTAATTTTTTGAAGTTTTCAAATTCATTTTTTGAGCTTTTTTTGAGCCTGATTTGCTACTGATCAAGATGGCAGATTGGAGTCTCAGACTTATCTTTTATAACTGATAAAAGTAGTAGTGGTGCTGCTATCCATGTTTTTGCTTGGCAAAGAAAAGCAGTAAGGATTTTGGCCAATTTACCTTATCAAGATGACTGTAAGCAATGCTTTATTAACTACAATATAATGGCTGTCCCTTGCTTTTTTAAATTTCAAAATCTTGTACATGTAAAGGAAAATCAGAGTGACTTTATATCTTTTGACAAGGTCCATGATTATAACACCAGAAGAGCACAAGATATTGTCCCACCCTATTCTAGATTGCGGAAAACAATAGTCATCCACAAATATCAACAAATTAAGTGTTTTAATAAATTGCCACAAGAGATCAGAATCCTCGAAATTCAACAATTTAAATCAAACTGTAAAGCTGGTTTATAAGTAGGTAAAGCTTTTTATTCTGTTGATGAATTTTTTGCATATAAATTTTAATTTAATCTGTTATGAGCTTTAATTCAGCGATGCTTTGGTGAGTAGTTGTAGTTAATTTATTGTTAATTTTCATAGTTTATATTAATTTGTTGCTGAATGTTATTTCTTTGTTATGTTCTATTCTGTTATATCTGTTAGTCTGACAAGTACATTTTACTATTTCTTTTTATACTGCATATTACTGTATTTCTATGTTCTTTGACGTTGTCTATAGCAATGTAATGTTGAAAAATGAAAATAAATGGATTCTGATTCTGATCGTTTTATACTTTGTTGTCAAGTAGTTTAAGAGGGCATGAATAATTTTTTCAAATTCTTATTCTACTAAACATCGGATGTGTTCAACTAGTTTAGTACCTGTATCATCAGTCTTGTTGATCTGGAAGCCCTTGACTACGGAGACAGGTTTGGAGGGAGCCACCACACTGATGGTGGGGGTAGTGTCAGTTGTAGCGACCGGAGGTGGAGCAGCAGCATTGTCTTCTACAAAACATGTGGAGCTGTCAGCAAACTTCATTTATCACACACATAGTGTGTCTTAGGATGATAACAGCTGAGAGGTTAAAGTACTCATCTTAAAAAAAGTCTTGTGTTTTGGCAGTAGTACCCTAGTTCACTCTAAAATGTTGGCCACGTGTGAACAGGTTCTCGTTCAACTTGCCTGGCCTACGACAATTCCACAACCACGTAATGACAATTGGCTAAGACAATTGTCTCGCCTACTGGCATCGTGTAAACCCGACTTAAGCATGTATATTTTATTATAACTTCATTTAAGAAATGTTACATTATTCATGTATACTACTATTCATGTACTTGGTGAATAAAGATAATTTGAGTTGAATTGAAACTAGAAAATGTGTTGTGTTATTGTATGTGTTTTTTGTAAAATAATGAACAACAGGCCGATCATCTTGAGCAGGAGTGTCGACGAATCGCTGCTTGACGTTTGGATGAACTTCAGCGAACTGCAATTCCTCAAACCTCTGAAGTCACCATGTCTGCGGATTTTTTTATATTCACGATATGAACCGTTGACGTGGCATCAATGCAAACGACGTGTGTCCGAACTGCTCCGCGGTCAAAGAGTAGTTCCTCAACATCTAAACTGATCCAGAAATCTGGTAGTTAGAAAATGAGGTCGCTTGAATCATCCAGTTTGATCTGCTATGCGTTGGGGATGGCCTCTAATCCCCGTAGCCTACAGGTAGCCTTAAACGCACTATTCCATAGCATTTTATTATTGCTGCCTATTATAAATTAAAAACGTCAAAAAACTATGAGCTTTCAGTTTATATAAGTGTACAGTTACCGGTATGTCAGTGGTTAATCTTAAAACAAAATGTTATTACTCAAGTCACGGTACTGTAAATGATCTAAAATGCTATGATCTAGGAAACTGGTGTAACTAGACACACATAAGACAGTTGATAATATTTCAGCGATTAATTGTTTTTGGTTTGTAATAAAACCATTTTTGTAAATGATAAAATGTGTCTTATCAAACCGAGCAAGGTTCGTTCCCCCGGTACTTTTATCATAAAATATAGCATCTTTTAGGTCACATCAAAATATCATAGTATAAACAGAAAGCGCTAAGGAAATTGAATTTTGCAGCTGTAAGTGGTTCATTCAACTATGTTCTATTTGAATAAAAATTTGCAACAGATAGTCTATTTCACCCTATAAAAAATAGCCAGTATAAATAGTAAATTCTTTTACTGTTATTAAGATCATGAGAACTTTCACATTACACAGTTCCGGCGACAGCAGAGAACTGTGCCATCTTGCAGCCATCCTCTGCCACTTAACCGGATGGTTATTGCCGCTTGGGCGTTTGTCAGAGATGCATGTAGTTATATTAGAGCTTGAAGCGGTTTTTAATCTAATAAGACTAACATTTGCCACCAGCCCTTCTAAATAGGACACTGTTTATGTGTATAGTGATTGTTGTGTGTACCATTTCATCATTTTCAGTGTCTTTCATCATATTTTGATATTGCTATGTTCAATGTAGTCACCGAAGTATTAATCAACCTAATCAAATCCAAATAAGTTCTAAAATTTTGAATTCTTACATAGCTAGGATTGTAAAAAGAATGTCTGGCGAGATTTATTAATCTTGAAACAATCCATTTTCTTCTCGCCTTTGGTTTATTGGATGGTCCATTGAAGACTACACCTTGGATTTTACAACGTCAAAACTGCCATAAAACCAACGGATCATTGCTTGTTGGCAAACTAGGAATTGCAAACACATTTACCTCGCCAATACAGTCAAAAACCATGTAGTATAAAGGAAACATCAGCACAGTTGTACGTGTTTAACCGGACAGCGAGAGCATTAGATAGGATGTCTACATCAGTACTACAGTAGACTTCCTCTTATCCGGACTCCTCGGGACCGAGGACAGTCCGGATTATTGTTTATCGGATTAAACCGACGTCCCCAAAAACTCGTAAATGCAAATTGTTTAAATGCGTATTTGACTTAAAATTTAGGAAAGCATTGTATTTAGACACTTGATCACTGGTCTCAAATCTTTCACACGAGAATGGTCGTTTCATTACCACCCACTTCCAGCCGGTTCAACCGATGTGCTAAAAAAATTGTCCGGTTAGAGATGTCATTTCCACCGAGTGTATTCCGGTTAAACCAATGTCCAATAAATCTCTCTGAAATAAAGAGAAACACAAATTGTAAAAAACACGGCCTCTACAGTGCACTGGACGGAACTAACAATAAAGCTGTCTTCAGCTGATCCATAAGGATGAGAAATCTACTAACGGAGTATGTTTTATCCATGGTATCAGGAAAACATAAAAATCAACACACTCAAGCATTACAGGCTGCATTAATGTATCTTAAAATAACCAACAGCTGATCCAAAATAAAAAGATGATACATTTCTAAGGAATAGTTATTTGTGTAACTAGTGGGCAAAGTGGCACTTTGCTGCACATGAGAGCAATGTTTACGGAATGATCTCGAGTGCAGCAAAGGCCTTTTGCACTAGTGTTACACATTATATTTTTCCTACAGTCGTACGTTGGAATCCTGATGTGCGGCAAAGTATAAACCGTACGGCAAAGTATAAATATGCAGCAATTAGCAGCTTTCTGTACTATAAACAGTACAAGGAAGCCAACTTTGTCGGGTTACTGTAGGAAAACAATGTTTAATTATGGTTTAATACTCACATCTTAACAATCATCACACAAACTCATCCTAATGATTAACCCATAATAAAGGTTTGTTTAAACTTGTTTAAAAACAATGATACATTTGTATCTATATACATAAAAGGCAAAGCCCTCACTGACTCACTGACCCACTGACACACTCATCACTAATTCTCCCACTTCCCATTTACCTAGGAGGCTGAAATTTGGTACACCGATTCTTTAGGCATTAAATAGAAAAACTAAGCTGTTTTTATTCTGATCGGACTCTCGGGCTACGCCCCAGTGGCTCTGGAGTTTCCCATGTTAACCTTATGAGTTCTCATATTTAAATGGAATTAATGAATTTTAACAGCTGTTTCAATTAAACATGTTGGTTCTGTTCTATGATGTTCAATAGCATTAAAGTTACAAGGATTACCAACAGGGTGCAGCACTATTATTTCTTTTACATTTATGACAACAGCTAATTTGCAACCAAAAGGTGAGTGAGCGTAGCGAACGAACTTCAACTTGGAGGCGAGTTAGCGTAGCGAACGAGCTAACCTGAAGGCAAGTGAGCGCAGCGAACGAGCTCCAACCAGGACGTGATTGAGCCATGCGAACGAGCTCACTTATGAAGTTAAACGGAGCAAAGCCCGTGGGTACAGCTAGTGCAATATTATTTCTTTATAAAGACTTTTTGACAGATTTCACAAGACAATTAATTGGTTCTCTCCATGTCTTTTGTCAAAGCCACAAAAAATATGTTAATTCTGTAAACTGTCAAATTTTTTATGATTTCTTACCTACTTTGCAATTATAAAAACTATTTCTGTATAATAACATTGTCAATGATAATACTTAAGTTGTCAAAAGATACTAACTTTAGCCACAAAATATTTTACTTTCATCACTTTTTGTACTTACTAAGAAATATATTAAGAAATCTGGAGTGAAGTAAGGTCATGCACATATTGTCTTTCATTACTAGTACGCAGTACTGTATATAAACATCTAACTGGTGTTTGCTATCAAGTGAGTCAACTTCTGATAAATTTCCCCATAAATCTGTATACCTTCATGGTGCAACTTCAATGGCATAGATCTTCCAAGAATTACACCATATGTTTGACGAGATTTAAAAAAAAAAATTATAAATAAAAAACGTTTTCAAACAAAAGGTTTTTAAACGCCCTAAAAAGTAGAAAATAATTTACAAATAATTTATAAATATGTTGAGAGAGTATAAATACTTGTACGATTTAAAACGAAAAACGTTGGGTGCATGCAATTAATTGATAATAATACATTAGTTCAGTAGGTGAAGGTAATTGTAAACTATCTATTGCATGCGCCCCACGTTTTTTGTTTTAAATCGTACAAGTATTTATACTCTCTCAACATATTTATAAATTATTTGTAAATTATTTTCTACTTTTTAGGGCGTTTAAAAACCTTTGTTTGAAAAAGTTTTTTATTTATAAATTATTTTATACTTTTTAGTTTTAATGTGTGTGCATGTTAAATCTATTTCAAGCGTCTATATCAGATTAAGACAGAGGCATGTGGGAAATCTGAGGTTTATTTGAGTTTCTTTGCATATAATTATGTATTAGATTGCATGTATGGCCTACCTACTAACTATAAATATATCAATCTATTTGATTTATTGTTTACTTTATAGAATACTAAATAAATAACAAATGACATTATTAACAAACTCCTTTATATCTGCAATCAGATTGTTTATCTTTATTTTGAAATGTTTGTTTGTATAAAGAATCTCTTGGGAGGTATTTACTCAGGGGAGGTATAGAAGAGGCTACGATGACAGCTGTGGGCTTCTTATTAGCTGAGGGAACGCCATTACCGTAACAATACGATCTGTAGCCATCGGCCTCGGTGGACTAGTGGTTAGCGTGCCGGTCTGATACGCTGAAGGTCCCGGGTTCGAATCCTGCTGATAGCATTAACTTTTTGTCCAAGATTTTTTCATTATCAGCAAGTTTGGTTGGTTTGGTTCGGTTATGACATTTTAATTTTATTATTAAGTCATTAAAAAATTTTAATTGAGCAATTTCTAGTTTTATTAAATTAATAAACAGAATTATTATTTTTTTTCTATTACTAAACTTTCGTTATATTATTTCATTATCAGCAAGTTTGGTTAGTTCGGTTAGGTTATGATAGTTTAATTTTATAATTAAAAAATAATAAAATTGAATTTGAAACATTTATAATTTTATTTTATGAACAGAACTATTTTTGCGATTAGTAAACCTTCATTGCCAAAGTGCTCTCTACTACAGCGCTGTTCA